ATGAATATCACGTCCCTGGCCCAGTCTCTTGGCAGAGATGCAGGAGCCCAGCTAATGTTGGAAGAATCTAGAGAGGGGAGAGAGATTAGGCTTGGGAATGAGTGGTCTGCACCGTCACCGCCAGCCTTCTAGCCATTGTGTCTAAACAGCCACATCTCTCATGAGGTTGTCCCTGAACTGAAGGGGGCCCACTAGTAATGTGTGTGTGTGTGGGGGGGGGGTGTGCGCGCGCGCGCATGTGCACATGTACCATGGGGACTGGTCTGAAATGCTGAATTGAAATGTGGAATGCTTCTGTACCTCTTCTAACTTTAATGTGTAGATCAAAATAAGCTAAATATCAAGTGGCCATCAGCATATCTTCAATGTCCCTCGTGCCCACAGCTTGACTCTTTCAAGCCCTGGTCTAAATCTCTGCATCTGACAAACCACAAGGCAGAGTTTACAGTATTATTAAGGAATGAATCCTTGCCAAAACTGAAACCAAAATGAATTCAACAATGAAAAACATTTAAAATCTCATGGGCTGGCAGCCAAAGTACCCAACTCAGTATAGTCATATCAGTAAATGCAGGAATCACAGCACTGATTTATGACAGAGATTCCAGCAGAGATTTAAAGCAGAGCTGATAGTGTGGTGCATTGGCAAACGTAGAATTTTGGGAGAGGAAAAGTAGAGGAGAAAAATGAAGGAGGAAGCAGTAGATTCAAATACAATCTAAATATCCCAGCCACTCTTTAGAGCGCAGAAATTTTACTATAATCTGGGTGATAGAGCACAGAAATTTTGCTATAATCTGGGTGATCATAACAGTCTCCAATCACATTGGGAAATGTTACAATAGACAATTCAATTAAAATTCAGTTAGTTTGCCAAAAGACCAATTTTTAAAAGTTGAAAACATTCCAGAGAACTTCCTTTCATGCGTACTACCCAGGTCTGAGAAAACTGCTAATTCCAGAGAAAATGAATTATTATCTTATTGATAAAGTGATAATTTTTGAGGCTTGTAGTGTGGCTTTTTTGACTCATTAATTAAAATTTAGAGCCATTTACCAGGCACATATGGCTTCTGTTATATTACATCTGCACTAATAATTTTTTTTTCTCCCAGAGGCAGTTTTTAATGCCCTTCATCATTCTTCACCTGTCTTTGCAATCACTTGCTATGAAACAGAGAGCTCAACAATGACTAGGGATGACAGAAGGAGAATTGATGCCTTTGAGCTGTGGTGTTGGAGAAGAGTATTGAATATATCATGGACTGCTAAGAAAATAAACAGATTCATCCTAGAGAGGGTTAAACCAAGCTGCTTCTTTGAGGCAAGATTCTGAAGCTTCATCTGACATAATCTGGACATGTTGCAAGGAGGGACCAGTCCTTGGAGAGGGATATCATGCTTGGGAAGGTGGAGGGCCAGCACAGGAAAGGAAGACCCTCGATGAGATGGATTGATTCAGTGACTGGGGTAATGGGGGATAGGTGTGTCAGAGACAGTGAGACTGGCACAGTATAGAACAGGGTTTAGTGCTGTTGTACATAGGGTCGCTGCTATGAGCCACAGGTGACTCGATGGCACATAACAACAACCTTTGAAGGGAACAAAAACATATAACTCTCCGACTAGTCTTTAGGGAGATGGCAGGATTAGCCTTTAAAACATCCAAAGAGGTTCTTAAATGAAACTCCCTTGGTGAACTCTGGTGGCCTAGTGGCAAGAAGCTGCACTGCAATCACAGAGGTGTGCGGTTCAAATCCACCAGATGCTCTGCTGAAGAAGTAGGCACAATCACCTCCTGTACCAGTCAGATCTAATTTGACAGTACACACATTTAAAAATAATAGTAGTAGTAATAATAATAATAATAATAATTTAAAAAAATTTAAAAATGAAACTCCCTCCTAGAAATGGCAAATTTTCTCACTCAAAGCAAGAAGCCTCTGTGCTCTTACCACGGGGGACTGCTTTCACAAACTTCTTCCCAAAATGTTTAGAGCAAATGTTATGCTCTCTCATTTAAACTTGGGAAGAGTCTTACCCCTTCTCCTTTCTCTACTCTCCTACCTTTGAAGGCAACAAAAACAAGTAAAAGCTGAACAATAGTCCATGATAAAAAAGCAAGACAGATGAAACCAGAGGAAGGTGAAATTAATTCAAAAGCCTCAGCCAGGGGCACATGCCCTCTCCTTGCTTTCTCGAGTGTGTGGATGACTGAGAGCATGGTGGGGGCTGGAGTCGTGTGATGCTGAGCGGCACAGACACAGGGCAGAAAGTGTCTCGCATGGCTCCTAAGAGAAAGGTACATGCATACACACATGGTGTGTGGAATGGAGGCACTAGTCACATAAAACTGTAAACAAGTCTACAAAAACCTCTTAAATTACACTCCCAGATTTCCATAAAATTTATTCCTCTGTGTTTCTTATTTAGATTGATGGGAGCATCAGTTTATATTTCCATGGAGTATTTGAGATCCAGAACTGAGATTATAAAAGAATTAAAAGCCATGACATTTTTAGAGATTTAACTCAATCTGCTTATAGTTTCTTCCCCAATTCATCATCTAAAGTTCTTCAAGGAAAAAAACCCTAAAAATCATATCATTGCATGTTTGGAGCTTGACTCTATGTGATAAGTAGGTAATATTTAACATAAGCAACAAAGTCATAACTTTTTTGAATTTTCAGTATAATAACGTTCTTGAAGAATTTGGGTTTAGCTTGTTTTCTAGCAATTGGTCTCCTCACATTTGCCAGGCAAGTTGAGCAAAAACACCAGACCCAGAAAGTGAAACTGCTTCTGTTGGTTTCAGTCGCCTCTAAAAAACCCCCAAAAGCAAACAAAAAGCTACTTATCCTCTTTCCTAGTATTGCTTTATCTTCTTTTTTTATCACCCATTTAACTTATAATTTTTTCCATGGCACAGGAAAGAAATTTAAACATCACAAACATAAAAGAATTAGGGTTTTGGTTTGTCATTTTGGTGTGGGATTTTTTTGTTGTTGTTGCTGTTTTGTTCGTTTGGTTTGGGGATTTACACTTTTATTGAAATACCACAAATAAAATGTATCAAAATATTATCAAAATTTAAAGAAAGCAAATGCCTTTCTTTAAAATATTTGTCACAACTGTGTTTAAAGCCACCAGAAAACCTCCCTAAAACGGAAAGGTCCACATTAACCTTTTATTTTATTGAGTGGGTCACTACAGTTTTTCTAGATACTCTTCACCCAGCTGTTCTTGCTCAAACACTCCTTTAATTTTATCAGGCTAATCGTATCATCCTGAACATGCATGCTTGCACACACACAAATGTTCACAAGAAAATAATGTAACATTCCCTCAGTAATTTAGTTTCAAACACTCCCAATTCCTAAAACAGTTCTTTTTATACTTTCATTCCAAATTTCCTATATTATAAAGAAATCTTGAGACAAAATATAAGTAACTCTTAAAAAATGGTCCCTTTGGTTTGAAATAGAATTAAAAATACAGAGTACACAACAAACTTCTCTGCCCTGCTTAGTTTGTCTTGATTCTGAAGCTCCTGAATAATTTTTTCAAGTGCCATATCACCTTAAACCAACCTCAGAAAGCTCCCAAATGTCTAACCCTCTCAAATACCATCATAAACTCAAGGCCACATAATAAACCATGTCTCCTTGACTGTCACAGGGGGAAATCTTTGACTTAGTCACATCGATGATCAATCAGTAAAGGCACTTACTAGGTAGCCAGCCTTCACTCTTATCTTCTGGTCCTTTCCTGCCCACAGCAACCTGGAGAGGATGGACGCCTTGTGAAGCTGAGAAAAGCACATGGAAGCTGGTTCAAGGCTCAAATGCTCTACTTGAGCATTGAGGTGGTTCTGCACATGAACTTGGGAAAACTACTCCGGACACTCCATAGACACTTATTTTTTCCAAGGCTTCAAACCAGTTGTTCCTAGCTCAGTCATGGCTAATGAGACAAAACCAGAACAGATGTAAATATGTAGAACGTGGGTGTACTGGAATGATAATGAGAATGGAAAAATTAAAGATCTACATCCTGCTGGAAAATTAGCTCCCTCTTAGAAATCAAAGGCAGCATATCCATTGCGTAACAACCAAATCTCTTGAACAGTCAAGTCCAGAGCAACGGTGTCTGGCTCAAAGATGGCTGCTGACTATGCCACTTTGAATGTGTCATTCACTATCATCCTTGAAAAAAATCCAATCTCTATATCTTTTCTGAGTCTCCCATTCCAGGTCTTTAACCCATCATTTTTTCCATTCTAGTTATCATTCTGGTACACTCATGCTGTACAAATTTGAGTCTGTCCTGATTTTGCTGCATCAGCCACTATGAAACTGATTTGAACCGGTTTGAACTCTTAGTTTTTAAACCCAAATCAAACTCAAACAGCTGCTAGTAATAAATAGTATTCTCATCTATGCCTGGTAAATTAGGAAAACAAGTGAAACAATAACAAAAAAAAACAGCACAAAGACACAGAGAATATTCCATATAAATTCCCAATTTTACAAAACCACTTTTGCATGTTCACAACACATTAATTATAAGAAATAAATTTTAAGTAAATGTTTGTATCCCAAGACATATTACAATTTTTATTTTCATTAAAAAGCAAAACAAAATTACAGCGAGGAAAGAAAAACCCCAATCAGTTGAGTTTCCATTTGGGTGGGAAAAAAAGTTTTTACATATTTAAATGAAGAGTTAGAGTAACGAGTTTATCTATACCTCATATTTATAAACTATATACTCCCATACTACATCTTCTTCTCTCAGAACTAGTTAAGAAAGGAAATGTATTAAAGTAGCAGGGACTAAAGTTTACCTGCTGGGCTCATAATTCTAGTGCAGGACGTTTGTCCACTGCCATAGAGGTAGTCATGCAACCCAGGAAAAACTAAACCAGGTAAGCTGTCACCCTGACAGAAGACAAGGGGTCCGTGTCAGAGGCACACCCTCCAGATGTGCATCTCCCTTACCTACGGCTTGTTCACCAGAGCCCTGCTCAGGTTCTTTCCCAGGTCGGGAATGTTGACTCTGAAGCGAGATGACTTTCGGCACATGCAAACCGAGAATTGCAAAACCTGTTTTCCACTCGTGTGCGAGTCGTTCACAGTTAGTCTCCAGCAGCCCTGCTCTCCGGCTGCAAACATCTCATTAGACTAATGCATTCAGCACAGGCAGAAAACTCGATTTACCATAGCTACAGCAATGAATTTCCATTACGATGACAGCTTCAACCACATCATGTCCGGAAAACCAGCCAACCACTGGCTTTTAAAGAACACACACACGTTTTACATGCAGAAAATGAGGTGTGTGTGTCTGTGTGTGTGTGTTTCATGTTTCCTTCCTTTTAGCAGCCCAACTGAGAGAAATGTTCAGTGTAGCCTTTTGTCGACATGAGCTACAAGGTAATGACACTTCTGCTTCTTTGGTAGTTACGTCCTAGTAATAACCTGAATTATGTCACAATTGTCAGAAAGGGTGTTTCCAACATTTCGGTTTCATTACCCCTCCTCTGTTGCCATAGAAACCAGACTGTAACATCATCTCTTTGTCCCAATCCTGCAGCAGAGGGGGCCAGCACTGGGCTTATAAGAGACTGGCGATCTGAGGGGGTTATTTAGCTTTAGACAAATAAAACAAAAAGAAATCTTCAATAGCATGGTTGTTCAGGACTGACTGTTTTTGCCAGAGGAGTGCCTACACAGGTGAACTGTGGTCTGATACATTAACTCTGCAGCTGCATGTGATACATGTATACAATCCACTTAAACTAAACCCTGACTTGGGCTCCAGAGATATATGTCAGTACTTACAGGTGTCTACACTGATGCACATGCTGGGGCCCTGCCCTGGATGGTCCTCACCCAGGAAAAGGGTCCCTATTCATTCCCCATGCCCCGTTGAAGTCTCTGTGGCTAATCAATTTATATCGGTGAAGGGGCTTTCCCAGCTCCTTTCTTTTTGTTAGGTGGAACAAGCTCTCTATTGACATACTGGAGTATTGTTCCCAAAGGTTTTCTACAAGACGAAATATCCCTTATACAAATACATGGTTATCTACAAGCTTACTCTTGGGGATGAGCAAGAAGCAAATCTAGCCTGAACAAGATGGATTGACACAGTGACTGTAACAATGGGCTCAAGAACATTAAAGATCCTGAAGATAGTACAGGATAGGGCAAAGTTCATATCCATTCATTGGTCATAGGGTCACTATAAGTCGTAGACTGCTCGACAGCACCTAACAAGAACAACAACAACAGTAACTAAGGCTCAGGCAACAACTCAGTTACGGGGGGGGGGAATTAGAACTTTGGGAGGGGGGGCTTCTGAATTATATGGAGAGCCAAATTTAACAGAACAGCAAGCAACAAATGCTGGTGAGGTTGTGGAGAAACTGGAACCCTGATTCACTGTTGGTGGGAGTGTAAAATGGTGCAACCCCTGTGGAAAGCAGTATGGCGCTTTCTCAAAAAGTTGCAAATAGAGATACCATTTGACCCAGCAATTCCACTACTGGGAAGTACTGAAGAGACCATAGCTGACATCCAAGCAGACATATGCACACCCATGTTTATTGCAGCTTTGTTCACAATAGCAAGGAGTTGGAAACAACCTAAGTGCCCATCAACAAACGAATGGCTAGAGAAGCTGTGGTATATTCGCACAATGGAATACTATGCTGCATTAAAAAACAAGGAACTCATGCAATATTATTCAAAATGGTTGACTCTGGAGAACATTATGCTGAGTGAAATATCCCAGTCACAAAAGGACAAATATTACATGATGCCACTGTTGTAGAATGGGACTGTCCTTGGGGTTAGGGAGACACTGAGTAAGATGTGTTCAATAATGTATACTGCACTGAAACAGAGGAGGGAGAAAACTGTTTAAAAGAGATATGTGACTAGGTATTTCTGTTATCACAGGAGTCTAGAGCGAGGGCTGCATGGTGGAGGGGACCTGGGGGAGGGTTTGTAAAACAATGAAAGAATCTTTTCTTTTACTTTTCCATAATTTTTGACTCATGTACTTATAACTTGTTAGTTAAATTTGTGTCTTCTAGGTTGCAACACCCCCATGATACATCTTCAAGGATATGAACATGTACAGCCAAGCACAATCAATAAGAGTGCATCTAAATTCCAGAATCAATCTCCATAATAGTCTATGTGTTTCCTACTGCCAAAGGGGCCCTTTAGAGTAGTGAGAGAAGATCTTCACCCTGAAGCCCATAGCGTCCCTTTTCAGCAGGAAGTAGCTAAGAGAATATGCCGTCCCCTTTTCCTTATGACTCAGGGTGAAGTCTGTCTCAGGGAGGAGTGATAGGGAATGGCAAAGGACACACCGACAAAGGAGATTAATCAGAACTGACTTTGACAATCACTGTGGCAATTGGACAATTAAAACAGACATTTGGATGGCGGGGAAGAAGAACAAACTGGGGAGGAGGGTAGAGAGAATGGTGCAGCAGTGAAGGAATGAAAACCCAAAATCCCTGTAAATGTTCATTAAAACTAATAAAATTTAATAATAATAAAAAAATAGCATTAGTACAATAAAACTAGCAGACAGAAAAAAAAACAAAAAAAAGAAAGAAGTAAGAAAGGTCTCCCCAAGTTATGGAGTTTAGAAGAAAATGAACTTTTTTTGGAGGTCAGAACATTGTCATTATTGAGTAGTAAAAATCCACTGCCCTAGTTCATTCAATCATCCAACTTGATTGTTTTGGTTTGTATGTGAAAAGACAGATTTGAGACTTTTCATTTCAATTGTTTCATAGAAATTTATTCCAAAGGATAAGAAGGAGAAAGAAAGATTGGAGGAAGGAGGAAGAGTGGGGAGAAGAGAAGAAAAAGAGGAGAAATGGAGGAAGAGAAAGAGGAACAAGAATGAAAGAGGAAGGAGAGAGGTGCCGGAGAAAGGCACACAAGACCCCATGGAAAACTTCCACCCTGTGTATGCTGTGGTCACACATGTCGTCCCACACTATGAAGCACCTTGAATGGACTGAGATGCTAGACCAAGCCTCAGTTTAAAACATTTCTCCAGATAAACAAAATAATATTTTTCTTTAGCTAATCAAAATATTTCCCAAGTCCTGTTAAAGAAGAAAAATGCTTGGCAGAAACTGCCTGTAGAGAGGCGTTGTGGATTTCCTCCCCGGCCCTGGGAGGGTTTTGGATTCTCGATCCCAGCGTCCACACTGCCTTGCCTCCTCCTGACTGCACTGCTCCTGCGGCCCATCCTTTAGTCAGGTGCATCTGGGATGCAGGCATTCATTTATCATAGGTAAGGCCAACCCCACACACAAGGATGCTCGAAATGAACTAAATCGTGCTTGATTAAAAAAGATTATTACTTACAAGTATTTATTTATGCAACAAGGACTACCCACCTGAGAGGCTTTTCTGGTATTAATGGCAGCCCTTTGACAACAATAGCCAGGCACCTATCAGGAGCAAAATTAGGACTGTGGACCTAAAGTAATTAAATCAATGTTTTTAAAAAGGCTTCCAAAGTCCCTATATTACTTCAATTTTAAGTAAAGTTTAAGTTAAGCATTTAAGAGAAAAGAAATTTAGTGGAATCTCTGGATATAAGCCAGGGGTCTGCTAACAAGAAGGAGCTCTCTCCTTTGCTCATGGATCACCAGGAATTGTACATCCCTGGATCACAGTCAGGACACTTGGGTTGTGCCGCGTTGTTAATTTTCCTTGGCATCATGGGTACATTTCTATCTCAGACCACAGGTGGCATGCTCCACTCTTTCCACACAAATGCTATTGGGTTGGTGGTTAGCAAGAGACAGCCAAAGGGAACAGATTAATTTGAGGATGTTCCAAATTCAGATCTACTTAAAATCTCCATTTGAAAAGTAATCCTTCCTTCAGCTGCTGGTAAAGAATTCATTCACATTGAAAACAGCCTTTGTTCTAAAGAATTTTGTTTTTCAACATATGCTCCAAGTTCTCAGTACTGCCCTGCAGAGAAAGCAAGAAATGCTACAGAAATAGCTCTTGTTAAAATGATAATGTTGTATTGTTATGGCAAGTAGATTGTGCCTCATAACTACCCTATGAACAACAGATAGAAACCCTGCCCTATTGCAAGCCATTCTTATGATGTCTACTATATTTGAACCCATTGTTATAGTTACTGTGTCAGTCCACCTAATTGAGGCTCTTCCTCTGTCTTTTTCCAAGGACTGGTCCCTCCTGAAAACATATGCAAAGAATGTGAGACAAAGTTTCACTATCCTTATCTCTGAGGAGCACTCGGGTTGCTCTTCCTCCAAGACAGATGTGTTTGTTCTTTCAGCAGTCCATGTGAATGATGTCCAGTACTCTTCTTCAACACCACAATGCAAAAGCATCAGTTTTTTTTCTGTCTTTTTCACTCATTGTCAAATGTTCAGACTCATAGGAAGTAATTGAAAAAGACTGGCTTAAAAAGAAAAAGAAAAAGACTGGCTTGGATCAGGCACTCCTTAAACTGACATCATTGCTCTTTAGTACTTTGGAGAAGCCCTTGACAGCGGATATTCCCAATGCAACACGTACTCTGATTTCTTGACTGCTTACCCTGGGTACTGATTGTGTATCCAAACAAAATAAAATCATTGGCAATTAACTAATGTTCACTGTCAAATTATTCACAGAGCTTTGGTGACATACTGTGCAACATGGGAGGCGACTAAGGAAAAAATCTGAGGTTAGGCATTGTACAAAGGACAAAAGCCCTGAATAAGTGGTATATTGCAAAGAGGACTTGGGGGAGGGTAGAGGAGGGAGGTAATTATGCAACAATGAATGACTATTTAAAAAAGTGAACTGGGGAAGAGAAAGGGGGGGAGGATGTGCAACAATGAATGAATGAATGAAAATCCAACTCTTCTGTAAACTTTCATTACAATAGCAATTAAAATAAAAACATACAAAAAATAAACCAACCCAAAACCCAAATTTACCATCTAGTAGGGGTTGGAAGAGTAGATGTGGGAAGAATAGGTAGTTTTCCTAAATAAAACCACCATATGAAATAGACATTTTACGTTTGTTATGTTGTTATTAAGTGCCATCAAGCTGACTACAACTCATAACCACCCAATGTACAAGAGATTGGCACTCTGTCTAATTCTG